TATGATCAGATCCAGCAGGTCCTCCTCTTCAAAGATACATACCACTCTGTGTTAATCAAAACCAAAACTGACTCTAAAGCTTTTGGTTACATTATAAAAAATGTGAAAGATTCAGGATCTCTGAATACTGTTTTAGTGGTTTTAGGTGTTTAGGTGCTGTAACCCCACCTTTAAAAACCTTTACTCCAGAAATGGTCACTGACTCGTAAAGGAGAATTTAAAAGGTGTTGAAGATGATAATAACACCTGGCAGGTTTGAGGCTGAGGAAACAGTGAATTCTGCATGTTGCTACAAAGATTGGTGAACTCCATGACCCCTACTCTGGCTTTCTGCAGTGCTCAATTAGAGCATATTTAGAATTGATTTGTCAGAAAAGCCTGTTTGCTGCAGCTCTGTGTGAAGAGTAAGGGGGAGGTTAGAGAAATGTCCAATGATTTTGGGTTTATTTATTTGTAACCACGGTGGAGGGAATGACAAGGAAAAATGTTAATCTGAGCTGAATCTTCATGTAATCACATGAACGCGCTGTTATCATTTTAAGTGCTGCACTATAAAAATGTTCTGACGTAAAATTAGTGTAAAAACTGAAGTTTATACCAGTTTGGAGTCAGAAGCTTTAAAGTGTTTACTGGAGGGGATGGTCACAGATTTCAGTTGGTTTGTTTTTAACATCTATAAATCCTATTTACTTCCTCCTGATTATCTAGAACCACCTGATGCTGCAGTTAAAGACATGTTTCTATCAGCGGTGCAGAGTAACAGCCTCACACTGAGCTACAGACCTTAGCTTGTAGCACGAGCTGAAGGTCTGTGGTCCATTTGGTGGAGGAGGAAGCGGAGCCTTCCAGGAGCTCAGAGCCCAGTTTAAACCATTTACTGTTCGGTCTGTCACATTTAGAGCTGTTAGTTTACATGGACGTGTCTGGTTTTTAGACTGTAAAGTATCAATACTTTTGGGGTTAGATCTCCAGGTAAGATCTAGACAGCAGATCTTGCAGCATAGAGTGAAGCACATGAACAGGAAGTGAGACGTGAAGAAGCTCTGGGAGGATAATGCATCATTGTTTTCCTTCCTAGAAGAGCAGCAGCCGGAGCTGATGCTGACCACCACCAGGGGCCGGGCCACCGTGGCAGGACTGGACTCCAGCCAGGAATACTCACTCCAAGTCTTCGTCCTGAACGGGACCACAGAGAAGCTTCTGGCAAAAAGAAGATTCACCTGTAAGAAGCTCAGCATCAACAACACATGTGGATGCAGATTTAGGTTGTGTTCTTTATCCAGGCTCTGCAGGTCATTCCGTAAAGCTGTCAGGCAGTCTGCAGGTAAAGCCTCTGCAGGCAGGTTTGGAAGAAAGTTGGTCTTTCTGATAATCGGTGTCAGTAACCTGACTGCAGACAAACCTCTGCATTGCAGACACACCATCTAACCTGGGTGTAAAGCTGCTCTTCATCCATTTAGTCTCTGTGTCCAGCCCAACCCAGGCTCAGTTCTTACGATAGTCTTTTGCCTCAACAGTGTGAGAATCAGTTTAGGATCTGGAGAACGGAGGATTATGGGTGATGGAAACTTCTGAGGTGAAGTCAGAGGAACCTGTCAGCTGGTGTCCTCCTGACATTTCATATTTCCCGTCAATCGGATGTGTTCCTGTCCCGGGGCTCAGTAGACCCTACAGCTAGCTGGAAAACATGCAAGGTGACGGTAGGTTTGTGCAGAGCTGAGCGTGTCCAGGCACATCAGAAAGCAAACAGCCTGACATGGAAAGGATGGCAGTCTGGGAATCTGCCCCTCAGGGCCTCTTCCCACTCCAAGCCCAGGCTGCTCTGGATTCCTCTCTTTAGGAAGCTCCTACGTTGTAACATCTCAACCTCTGTTGATTGTTGTGAGCTCTGTCTGAGAAAACACCAGACATTTGCCTTTTTTGCATAATTTAATTAGAGAAAATAAATCTGTTGTAATTTAGGACAAA